GTTCACTGTGGGATGTAAACCATTTACATTTACTTTGATTGTTAATGGTCAGGCTTGAGCACATCATCTTGCTAGTTATTTCCTATTTGTTCCACCTGTTATTGTCCCCCTTTCTACTATTCTCTGCCTTCCTTGGACTGAATATTTTTGATAATTTCATGTTATCTCATTTAAGATACCATTTTTGTTAATGGCTATGTTAGTTTGTAGTGCATTTTTAACCAATCTACTTTAAAGAGTTATACCACTTTACGTAGAGTATAGGAATCTTATGGCTGACAGGTGCCACATGCTTATAAACTCAATACTCTTGGAGGATGAGACAGAAGAAAGTTTTCTTCCCTGGTTCTGGGTAGTTTCCACACTTGCATGTACTATCTACATTGCAGAACATACAGGAGAAAACTCCTGAAGATCTGTTTTTCTCTCTTTGCAAAAATTTTTCTTGTGGTCTGTCCTGTAAACTCTAACTGCTCTGATATCCTTGATTCTCAGCTCCATCTCCCAACGCAGTAACTTCCCTGACCTCCTCAGCTCATTCTAGAGCTGTGCCATGGCCTGGAAACTAAAGGCAGTAAGTTTCAGCAACTGTAGGGCTCATTTAATTTATTTGTCAATTCTCATGAATGATTGCCTTTCATGCTTGACATTCACTTTTTGAAAACTATTGTTTTACATTATTGTTTTGTCAAAATTTATTTTGGTTCTTTCAAGTGGAAGACCAAACCAGTTCCAGTTAGTCCATTTAGAACAGACTGAGAAGTCTTCACTCACACTTGCATTCACTGCCCTCTTGGGCATATTGTCTTTCCTTCTCCCTAGACAGTCACCTTTACACCTCTGACTGCAAAGATGCTCATATGAGACTTTTCCTTATAAGAACAAATTCCCTTAACACACACACACACACATACACACACACATACACACACACATCTCTCTCTAGCAATCTCTCTTGCTCTCAACCCCTTCCCCTCCAATTTTCTCCTTTCTTTTCCTCCCTCCCTCCCTTCCTGTCTTTGCTCTAGCTTCTAGAAAGAACAGTCTATATGAAATCTTAGTCAAATAACCAAGTAGTAAAAGGATAGGTCTACAGCTCAATCTCTTTATCACTATCATTTCTGAGATGGGCTTTACCCCAAAAATCTACAGAAACTGCTCTACCCTTGGTCATTAATGACCGTATCTGTTACCACATCCATTGATCATTTCTCAGACTTCAGACTTATATTTATATTATTTGTCTCTAGTTCTTTTTTTTTTCTTGCCCATAATTGACTTATCTTCTGTACAGAACTGCCTGGATTCGATTCCTTATCAAAAGCAGATTCTGAAATATAAACTCCAAAGGGCAAAAAAATTGTTTTTCTGTTTCTGTTAACTGATGCATTATCAGTGCCAAAATCAGTGACAGTCACACAGTGGTCATTCAGTAAATATGAAAAGGATGACTGAAATATAGTTGGTAGTTAGCATCTTCTTCCCCCTCTCTAACCATTGTATCTAGGTAATCTCATCTAAATCCACAAGTGAGTAGTCTCAAATCTCTATCTGTAGCTCCATAATTTCTAATCTGCTTTTTTTCTCTTTTCTGTGCATCTGGATCACTCTTGGGTGTCTAAGAACATCTCCAAATTAACAAGGTCCAAAACTAGACTCATTTTTCCTTAAAACTGCCTTTCATGTCTCCTCTATTGTTTTTTATAATTTCCCCAAACACTAAGCTAGAATTTTGTCATAATTGATTATTTTCCTTTCTTCTCCATCACCTAATATGACTGTCACTTTTACAGTATCAATTTAAGTACCTCTTAACTCTACATGCCTACAATTACTGCCCCTAATGGATCACCTCTCCATGTTACAGGTCTCTCTCAATAGTTTCTTTAGTATCTAGCCTTTCCACACTCCAACATTTTCTACATCTCCGCATCCTGTGCCTTGACCACGAACTTTTTTGTGAAATACCTATGCTTTTTGATCCTACTCTCCTCACATCATTATTCATAGCTGAGATCCTACCATCACAAGGCCCTATTCAAAGGTAATGTTCTCTAAAAAGCCTTCTTTAATAGTCAGGTTAGAAATTACCACTTTTTAACTTTTATATTTATTCTACTAAGTATCGCATATATATTCTATCATAGCACAGGGCCTGGCATAAACTATCAATAAATGTGAACTGTCTTATCATCTGAAAATGTATCTTCTGAACACAGTATAAACCTCATGACAGCAGGGAGATTTCCAAACAGACCTCCAAAAAGACACTGTCACATTCTGGTTTTTGTTTTTTTTTTTTTTTGGTACTGGGGATCGAACACTGCCCACGTTCTGGATAACTAACTATAAATCACAGAAGTTTAATATCCAAATGGTTAGTCAATCAGCTAGAACTCAATATCATGGCTGGTTTCAGCAAAACAATTAAAAATTTAATAAAAACCATTATATTACAATCTATAAATACAGAATTATGTACAGATATTTTTATATTATAATTCAAAACTACTTCTAGCAATAATACTAGATAATAACTCTGATAAAGGTAACTGAAGAAAAGCATAGTTTTTGTTACTCCTACATATATCTTAGAAGTTACTTTGCCTGACAAAAATTAAGCTAATAAAATTTTTATAGCTTCGTAGCACATCACTCAAAAGATATCCACAATTTTACAAACAACTAATAAGTATGTACATCATTCTGTACATCAGAAATGCTAAGCCTTAGAAAACACTAAACTTCATTTGAGGACTTGACCAACATCCTACCTTTTTTTCACTAGCCATATAACAATGGGCATATCACTATATCTTTGATCCTCAGATATCTTAAAAACAGAGTATGAAAAGGGATTTTTACTGTTAAAGGCTTTTTGAGGTTTATAGGGAACCTTTTACATAAAAGCACTATGTATATTCAATGTACTCATTTGCTCATTCATTTAACACACACCTATATCTAAGCATGCCCAAATTTTGTGCAAGGCTCTGAGTATGCCATGCCAAGCAAGATGTTCTACCTGCCCTTAAGATTTACAAGTCAGGAATGGGAGGTAGATATGTATAAAAAGAGGTGAAAAAAAAGTGTGACATAAACTAAATGGTAGAAATATGAATCACGTCCAGTAAAGGAAAAAAGGAGAATTAAGTTCTGTCTCAGGCAGATAGTTAGGGCTGGCTTTATGCAAACAGACTTTACTTGGGCTCTCTGCTCATCTTCAAAAAACGTTCTCAGATCTAACACTATTTTTCTAATTTAGGTGGGGACAAAACCTGACCTGAAGTGATATAAGGATCTTGATCATCAATATTTTTCCTATTTGTTATCAGATCCTGATGAATCATTTTATTACCCACCCATCACCTAAACCAGGAGTTGAGTCATCCTTGGCTTATTTCTTTTTTGTCCTCCCAACCCAATTACTCACCAACTCCTGTCAATTCTAGTCCTCACATAATGAATCCCATCTATTTCCTCCTCTGTTCACTCTATTTCTGCCTTCACTGAGGCCTTCATCAACTGGGTTGCACTATTACATTTATCCTGACTCTGCCTCCAACAGTGTGCCTCATAATTCAACTTCTATGTCATGGCTGGCTTGACCCTTCTCAAAGGAACTTCTAAGCATGTTTTTTCTGCTGAAAATACCTTTATGTCTCTACATCATCTACAAGGAAAGCTCACATTTTTAAAAACAATATAAAGACTTTGCCCAGATTCAGCCATCATCCCTCTCTTATAACCTGTCTTCTGGTACTCTACTGAACATTGCAGTCATGCAAAAATGTGGTTCCCCAGAGACCTCACTCTCTTCTACAACTCTCCATCTCATCCAAATTTTCCTTAAATCCTCTCTCTTTTCCTACTCAACACTTTTGTCCCTCTCTATCTGCCTAACAAATCAAGTTCAGATCCAATGCAGAAAACTTCATAGTGCATCCTGCCCTTCGCCCATGCTCTTGCTTTTATATATTTCTAGACATGAACTGAATGTCTACATGGCCAACAGATTGTGTCCCTTGGAATACTGGGATCAGTGCTTATCCCTAGTGTCTAAGATTGGACCTAGCACACAGTAGGTGCTCAAAAATATGGCTAAATATACAATCTTTTCAACTTTCTACAAAATGTCTTGCCCTGCTTCTCATCAGGTCTCCTCCCAGGGCAACTGTGTTCTTCATCTCCTACAACTATTTTTCTATTATTGTCTAATGTATATTCTTCTTTCTCGTGTCATTGCCAGAAGAGAAAGAAGCATTTGGGGAGTGACAAAAAACTCAGGACAGGCTCTGACAACTTTGGTATTGACGACAGTCCTGGCACTGGGTTTTGTTCTCTGTTGTGGAGGCTTACCTGTACACTATGGGATATTCAGTATTACTACTGGCCTCTTACCATCTAGAAGCCATCATCACCCTTCCCAGTTTTGACAGCCAAATGTCTCCACATATTACCAAATGGCCTCTGGACAACAGAGAGATGAAATCTCCCAATTGAAAACTATTGTCCCTGACTGAGTTTTCTTCAAAAGACATGGTAAAGCTCATCAATGTCTTCTTGCAGTGACTACTGTCCAGGTGAAAAATGAGGGAAGAAAATTCAGACTATACCAGTGGTGCTGTTTAAAGAGTAGGTAATCAAGAAAAGCAGCCTAGGGTGACACTTCAAAGGAGGACAGCATTCAGTGGATCTGACATAAATCCACTTTGCCAGAGAACTAGGGTTCCTGACTTCAGGATTAGTCTGTAATAATATTTTCTTGATTTATTCTGTGCCACTGAAATGATCAACAAGAGGGATAAGGGTTACAGCAATTTAATGCTATTAAGCCCTCCATAAATCTTTTTTGAAAAAGAGATGGAATATTTAAAATTAAAATGAGTATACTGACTGACACTCTACAAATAGAAGGGAGAGGAATAGTTATATAAGTAGCATAGGAAACTAGAAAAGTTGGGGTAAGAAGGAGGAAAGGATAGACCGATGGTACTCACCTGTGGTTGACACGACATTCTCAGAGCTTTCACTGCACAGCTTTGAGAGCAGGCTGGTCTTGCCAGAACCTGTGAGCCCTATGCATACCAGATCATACTCTGGTCGCGCAGGTGGTGGTCCCTTGCAGCAAAGCGCTCTAAAACACTGCCAAGAGAGAGGAAAAATGTGATTCTAAATAAGACAGTGGAGATATACCTTAGTAACATTTGAAATGACTAAAACAAATATTGAGACAAGTAATCTATGAATTGTAAGGAGGAAAATGCTAACTTTTGAGTGAAGAAACATGGATGACATCACCTTAACCAAGTATTAAAATTGCCATCTCCAGTCACAAGACATGTCTACACCGCTGCCCCTCTTCCTGCAGGGGCAGATGCAACATGCTGAACATGACATCGCCACATAGCGCTCCTACCAAAATGCACACCATAAACCTCACCATGAGGAAATTAGACAAAGCCAAAGTAAAAAGAATCCTAGAAAACAAATGATCTATTTTCTAAAATATCAATGTCTTAAAAAGTCAAAGAAAGGTTAAGAAACTACTCTGGGTTAAAGAAGATTAAAAAGATATAATACAAAATTCATTGTATCCTAGATTAGATCTTGATCGAGATGGAAAAGTGCCATTAATGACAGTATTGGGACAACAGTGAGGACTGAATATAGACTGCACATTAGATAACAGTGTTTTATAAGGTTACATTTCCTGAATTAAATAACTGTACTGTGTTATGTAAGGGGGAAAAAAATCACTGTTCTAAGAAAACACACTTAAGAACTGATGAGGTAAAGCTTTGGTCTTGGTGTCTGCAATTAACTGGCTCAGCGAAATTCTAAATCTCTTATCTCAATCTGGTGAGAAGTGTGACAAAGCAAGCACAGGAAAATGTAAACAATGGCTGGTAAAGCAGAGCAAAAAGTCCATATGAACATTCTCTGTTCTAGACTTAGAACTCTTTGATTTCAATTTTTAAAAAGTGGTGTTTTGCTATTTCTCTTGGTTTGGGGGGAGCTTTGTGCATACTCGGTAAATGGTCTACCACTGAGCTACATTTTCAACCCCCTTGTTTTATTTTTGAGAAACAGTCTTGCTAAATTGGCCAATCTGGGCTTGAATTTTCAATATCCCTGCCTCAGCCTCTTGAATAACTGAGATTATAGAGGTACATGATCATCTGTAGCCAAAATAAAAGATTTAAAATCATTAAATGTAGTCTACGTACTACGTATATATCACTATCCTCTTGGGCTTTCCTAAATTCTGCCTCATGTCAATTGACCCTGGATACCGTGAACTGTAGTATAGCTTCTTCACTGCACAAACCTGTTTGCTCTGCAAGAGTAAAGGTACAGGAATTTGGAAAATTGAATGTCATTCACAAAGTGACCTTTCCACTTAACCATTTAATGAGGGCCAACTATGTGCCAGCTTTGTAGAGCCTGAAATATTTAGGCCCTAAATGATTCATAAAGAAAGAACACAAGAAGAGTAAGCCAAGAAAAAAGAAAGCAGACATACCCACTTCTGGGTCATCTAGAGATCATGACAGAAGAAACCAACAAAGGGCTTGTATGGATCCTTCTCACTGAAATAAAATCTGAGTCATAACCAGGGGTCACACTTACATAAATCAAGTCTGATTATTTCTCATATCCAATCAACCAGGCTGGACCATACAACCTCTGAAATAGCTCTAAGAATCCACCCTGTTCTCTCCAGCCCAGGCCATCTACCTAGACAACATAAGGTTCTCCTACAATTTCCCAAAAATTCACTCTTTCCCTGTCCTTCACACCATGATTGCTTACTAAGAGAAAAATCTGATTTTATCTGCTCAAACCACATCAGTTACTTCTCCCTTCTCTTGGGTCCAAATCCTTGTCACAGTCTACAAGGCCCTCTAGGTCCTGCTCCAGACAAACCAACAGCCTCTTACCCACTACTCTTCCTCAGTCATGCTGACTTTCTCTTACTGGAGACACTTTTCCAATGCTGTTCCCTCTTCCTTCATCTCCTGGCTTAGCCAGTTCTTCATCAGTTTGCAAGTCTCTGTTTAACCACCCCTTGCTCAGTCAGGGCAGTCTTCTCTGACCTTGATTGCGCCAGCAACTGATGTCAAGCTTGAATGACATGTAAATTTGACCTAAGAAAAGAAAATATAAAGGCTAACAGTAGGTATACTCTATCCTCTCTGGCTCCCTATGTTTCAAGAAAATAGTGTCAGAGAAACCCTTGGCTTTTTCACTTTTCTTCAGTGCTGGAAGGTAGCCTAATTCCCAAGAGTGGTTTTGATGTACAGGATCTTCCTTGGTAATTAGTTTTTTTGTCCTAAATTCACTTTTCCTCAGTTTTGCAGGGGTTCTACTAAATTCTGGCAAACACTTTTTTGTGATTCATATTCTTCACAGATTTATTATACTCCCATCACATTTGCTCTCAGTCTTTTCAAGCCTCAGGAGTCCTAATTATTTCAGTCTGCCTTCATATATCAATTTCTCCTACCCCTTCGTATTAGTCCCTTTTCAATGGCCATGATTTAGTTCCATTATGACTTCTCCTACGTGATTAATGACCAGAACTGTAAACAGTCTCCTAGATGCTAATATATCATATCCTGGATTCACGTGCGGGCTAGCTGATATTGTTTAACTTTTCACAAACATTTGTTATCCATGAAAAATAAGTCTCCCAGACTCATGATAAAGAATTTTGCCCATAGACAGGTTTGTGTATGTACATTATCCTTTTGAAGATGGCCACTAGCTAGCAGCTCTTCACATTTAGGAGAGGTCTTCCACATTCAACTAAAACAGGCAACACACAGTTTGTCTTACTAGGCTCTTTTGGTTCTCCATATGGTAACTGTGAAAGGACTTTATTCCCTACCCTGAAGACCCTCATTCTTGCTCACCTTCTCTGCCAGAATTCCACTAGACTGTATCCTGGGGGGATTGAGCCAACTACCCCGGCCCAAACTATTATAACTGTCATGTACAAAATGAAATTATGTGACTGTTTAAATTATTTATATATCAGCAATGCTCTACATGTTTTGGCCAAAAGTTCATTTTCATGCTTTCTCTAAAATCCAGGGTAAGAACTTCATATCTGTTATGGCTTATATCTAGATGTCCCCAGTAAGCTTCATGTGCTCATAGGTGGGGCTTTTGGAAGTAGCTGAATCTAGATGTGTGATTCTGGATTAAGGGTGTAATAACTGGATCAATCCACTGATTGGTTTAGCATAGTTCTGGGAGCAGATATTGGGAGAGCCCATCGGGGGGGGGTCAATGGCACCATCCAATATGCTTGTAGCCTAGATGGAATTAAAGAAAGCAGAAGGAAGGATGCTGACTACTACCTGCCATACCCTGAACTGTTTCTTCTCTACCATGGCCTTCGGCCCAGAAACCTTACCATGGAACCAGCCTAGGGAATGAAACCTCTACAAACTGTGAATTAAAATAAGCTTTTCTTCTTTTAACTTGTATATGTCAGGTATTTTGTCCTAGCAAAAAGAAAATAACTAAGACAGTATCTAAGCTCATGAATATCTACATCACTTGTTGGTTAACTCCAAGGCACCTAAGACACTTATGATATAAGGCAATTTTAGCAATGATATTCTACCTTTCTCTTTATATTCTTTCTGATGATGTCATCTCTCCCTCATGGTTCCAATCACAGAATGTATTGATTCTGACAATTCCCTTTGCACAGCCCTACTGTTTTCCTAAAAATCTATGCTCTGCAGTTCTGTTGTAGAAGAATCTGAATGAAATCAGAATAAAATAATAGTCTTCCCCCAAAACTTAGGCCCCGGAAATAAGGGATTTTGGAAAATAAATGCTAAATTGATAGTTATTAGAAGTCAGAATATTTTCAATAGTTCACAAAACACTGGAAATATGTATTAGAAATAAATAAATCCCATGGTTAACAGGAAAAGTGTTAGCTTGTGAGCCAACCACATAAAACTTCTAAAAATGTGCCACTTCAAATGGGAGGAAAATATTCAATTTTTTTAAGTCAGTTCCTAACACTTTACAAAGTTTTCATTTGTTTTTAAAAAGTTAGTGAAGCTTTAGATCTTATAGTCAATTTACTTAAAATTACTCATTTTGGCCTCTAGACTATACTGTACTAAAGTTCATTGTGCTTGTCTCCTACAGAAGCTCTTGCATTGTGAAGAGTAAGCCCTTTTCACTGCTGTACAATGCGAAACACAATGCTGTCGGCAGTCCTGACAGCAAGCGGCAATCTTGGGCTTCATTCCCAGGCCAGACACTAAGGCATTGTGTAACTCTGCTCAAGCCCCATAAACCTATCTATGCTTCAGTTTCCCCATGATTACCCAGTAACATTTAACACTATCTACCGCTTCCTTTCTGCAGTCAGATATTATAAGGCATTAATATTCTATTAAGAAAGGCATCAGATGGGTAAATAACTGCTCATTATGGTACGCAATTTCCTAAAGTGTCTTGACTACTAGTTAGCCTCCTTGGGCAAGGACCCGGTAGCCCAACATACAGCCCAGACTGGAATACTTCTCTTTCATCAGCTCACAGAACTGGTCTCCACATGCTCTATCCCAACCCAGTTGATCCTAAGACAACACACACACACACACACACACACACACACACACACACACACACACACCTTGGCCCTCACTTCCAGCAGGAAACAGAAAACAACACTAATATGAACTATGATTATACTGTATGTGGGGCAACTAAGGTCACAGTCTACCTAGACTACTTCATTTCATGAGTCTTTTTCCAGTGAGTCAATCATGACTTGCTCCTTTGTGAAAGAACCTAGGGTATCTGCTATGTTATGTTATATCAGCACACAGGCTGGTTTCCCTTAGCATGCATGCACTACCTTCTGCCAATGTTGTGAGGAAATGGTATGTCAAGGTCCAAGAGAAAGCAGTCTAAAATTGCCAGTGATAACACTGTGTTGTAGACTTTGGGTGAATCATGCAATCTTTGGCTGAAATATGAAGTAACTAAAATTCAGAAACATAAGCATTAGGAATACTAATAAACAAATATAAAGAAGAACAGAGGCCCTATGTACTAGACATAAAAAAAAAAAAAAAGAAGCAAAAGGTGATCAGGGTAAAATA